GTGAGGACAGATTATAATGTAGGCCAGCTTCAGTTTTCTCCAACAGTGAAACTATTCTAACCTGCCCACAGCATTTGCTGCTGCTATTAGATCTGACATTTTAAAATGTCATGGTGGATTTCCTGAGCAAAATTCTTTAGAAATGAAAGATACACTTGATTTTAGCCAAAAGGCGAAGAAGCGATCAAAAGTAAATGATAAACAATTAACTCACAGATTTCCTGGGCCCACATCTTTTCTCCTTGAATCTCCATATCAATCTAGCTATAGCTGTCATCGCTGCCAAAAAAAAAAAAAAGTCTGTATTCTACCTTTGTCCCTAAGGAGTTAATAGTCTACTTGAGGAGCAAATGGTCATGCCAGTGACACATGAAATAAAAAGCTCAGGATAAGAGTTATGGAGAAAGAAGACTACCTGTATAGACTGGAGATAGATTACAGAGAACATGAAAGGTAAAAAATGGTTTTAAGCAGTGTGTGAGGAAAGAGGAAGCCAATTTATTTTCTTGAAGCAGGATGGTGATCTGATTGACAATAAAATTATCTTGACTTGACAGAGGCAATTACACTTGGCTGGAGTTAGATGAGACTATAGAGTCGTGGCCATGGGCTAGGAGAGACTAAGGATGACAGCAATGATGATGATGATGGTAACAGCTAATATATACTGAAACCTTTCCTCTGTGTTAGTTCCTTTGTGATAGGTGACATTAGACATATGGACATTGACACATGAATTCACTTTCTCAGAGCCACATCATGAATAAAGAGTAGAGCCATAATTTACATTCAAATTTGACTCTGAAATCTGCCCTGTTTGTACTACTTTACCAAATAGATGAGAAGGGCTTGGGCTAGGTTGGTGGTTCCTATAGTCATTTGTGTATACCTATATTATTAACACTCATTGACATAAGCTGTTGCATTATATATTGTCTCTCCTATTAGACTGAGACTCTGAGAATGCGGATCAGAGCTTGCAACCCCAGTACAATTTCATTAGTGTCTATGTGATAATGTGTGCCTCTTCCTTATCCTTCCTCGTTATCCTTCCTCGTTTTTCTCCTACCTCTTCCTCCTCCTTGTATGTTGATTAGCTTTATCCAAGCATGAGTTACATGCTTGGATGTAACTGTGCTCCTGGCCATGAGGTCAGTGTTAATGAATCAATAAAATATATTAAATAAAATGTCCTGAATTAGAAATGAATGTGAAACAAGGTTATATATTGATGAAAATAAAACCAGTGAATCATGGGAAGCTAACCCTGGATTTTCCCCAGGAGCAGTAGTTCTCAGCTACTTTATAGAACAGAGCAATCACAAATAACAAGAATCAATTGTTTTCATTATAAAAATGCTGGTAAGGGATGAGTTGTACCGGAATGAGAGAGTTATGTGCTGTTTATCTTTGCTGTTTATAATCTTTATGTTACAGAATGCTCTTCCTAAGGCTTGCTGTCTTTTGGGAGGAACTGGTTTTAATACTCATTGGCTTTTAAAAAATCCTTTATAATTTGCCCTTGACAAATCATTATTTTTGCAGTTACAGATAGTTTTAACTCCAAGTTCTTTCATTCTTGTTAAAGCTAGACCTCCTCTTAATTTTAATGCTATTTGATTAATTGACAGCCTTATCTTATAATTTTATAGTATTCTTAAATTCTTCTGATACTTAAAAATACTTTTGTTTATTTGCTTTTATTTGTTTTTAAATCAGGAATTGACAGTTGTTTGTAGTGTTTCTGTTAAGGGTCAGATAATACTTTTGGCTCTGTGGAATATGTAAGGTCTCTAGTCACATATACTTCTTTGCTCTTCCTTTTACAAGCCTTAAAGTATGCTTTACAGTCATTTTGTTTAGCTCAAAGCTCAGTCCAGAATTGGGCCAGCATTGTAGTTTGCCAAGCCTTGTTCTAGTGTTTCAGTGTGCTATGCCATCAGCCACTCCATTTCACTGTTTTAACTTGTACTTAACAAGGATGAAGCATGCTAATCTGTTTTTGTTTTAGATTATAATTATCAACCAATTCATGTGAATTTATTTTAAAGTCTAGATAATATTACTGCATTGCATGAATTAATGTAACTACACTAAGAATAGTATGTAGAAAAGTGTCCATATATTACAATACTTACAAAGTGTTTTACTTTCTTTATATCTAGGGATTACTATCTTAGGAAAAAATAGTTTTTAAATACTGTAAGACTTGACCTATTTCACATAATCATCTTAGGGTTTTAGTAACAAAATTCCATAGGTTTGTAGGTGAGCATGCTTTGTGGCATCAGTTTTAATAATTTTGAATCGTTTAATGTAATTTTAATGATCTGGGTGATCATGAATACCTTGTGCGTCTAGGAACAACAGCGGAATTAGCAAGAAACATGAATATGAAAGTTCTTGTTATGTAGCCAGCCCTGATTTAGAACTTGTCTTCCTGCCTTGGCTTCCCTAGTGCTGAGATTATAACTGTTTGCCACTTAGAAGTAGTGGCATTAAACATTATGTGTGTGTGTGTGTGTGTGTGTGTGTGTTATGTGTATGAGTGTTTATTTGTATGTGAGTGCACAAGTATGTGAGTATACTTGCTTTTATGTGTGTATGGATAGGCCAGAGGTTGAGAGCAAGTGTCTTCTTGATCACTTTCCATGTTTAATTCACTGAGGTAGGATCTCTTACTGAGCCCAGAGTCCTGGAGCTCACCATTTTGGCTAATCTATTTAGGTAGCTTGTTCCAGGAGTTCTGACTCTGACTCCCAGGCTCTTCCAGCCATTTAGAGTGCGTGACAGGGATCCATACTCCAGTCTTCATATTTGTATGGAAAGTGCTTTATCCACAGAGTCATTTTGTGGCCAGACATTAATTTTTTACTAAAAATGTTTTGTTATTTATAAAACCTATGCTAAAAACCAATCAAATGAAATATACCTGTTAATTTTCTTTCATATTAAAATAATATTCTTTTTATTTTCTTTAAAATTGTATTTAATATATTAACTTAAAGTATATATTATTTGCTGCTGTATTTTGAAGTAAAAACTAGTTTTGCAGCTTCCTTGGAGTGAGATTTTGTTTCTTTATTTAAAAATATTAATTAAGCAAAATTTAAATGATGTGTATGTGGAGGGGGGCTGTCAGTGCAGGTGTTTAAGGAGGCCTAAGGCATTGGATCCCAGGGAGCTGAGTTACAGGAAGTTGTGAGCTGCTATGTGGGTGCTGAGGACTGAACTCAGATCCTCTGCAATATGTGCTCTTGACTGCTGAGCCATCTTTCCAGCCTCAGTGTTTCTTTTTAGTTTACAGCTTCATTTAAATTCACATACAGGGTATTAGACATCACGGCATTTTCAAACAGTATGTGTTTCAGTAGATTTTCTTCTCCTTTCCTCTTTTCCACTACCCTGCCTTGACCCCCAATTCTGTCCTGTACCCAGTTTCTTTTCCTCCTATTAGTCACTTGTGCTTTTGCTCACCCTTTTCCTTCCATGGTGTCTGTTTTTACCCTTTCTTGTTCTCTTTTCTAGTTTTATAGACTTTAAACACATTTATAGTCATATGAAATTTGCAAAAAAGTAGATAGTTCTGGAAAGCATAATATTAACAAGGTTGCTCAAAATCTTCCATGTTTTTAAGTTATACTTTTATTTATTTATTTTGCATGTTCCAGGGTGTACATGTGTCACTGTGTTCATATGAAGGTTAGAGGACAACTTGTTTGTAGAAGTGGCTCTTTTCCTCTAATCTGGGTCCTGGAGATTGACTGCTGGTAGTCAGACTTGGTGGCAGGCACCCTTATTAGCTGAGTCATCTCAGCCTTTCATTTTTGATTGCATGTGTGCCTGTGTGATATGTGTGTGTTAGTGCAGTCCCCATGTGACATGGCATGATTGTGCCATGGTGTGATTGTGTCTGTCAGAGGATGACAACTGTTGGGAGTCAATACTCTATTTCACCTTTTCCAGGCAGGATTTCTCTTTTCTTTCTGAGGCATGGCATACTGTTGCTGGAGGGCTTCTCTCCAGGCTCCACCAAGCCCTGCAGACCCACAATCCACGTATAAAATAATCACTCAGACGCTTATATTACGTACAAACTGTATGGCCGTGGCAGATTTCTTGCTAACTGTTCTTACATCTTAAATTAACCCATTTCTATAAATCTATACCTTACCACGTGGCTGGTGGCTTACTGGTGTCTTTACATGCTGCTTCTCCTGGCGGTGGCTGCAGTGTCTCTCCTCAGCCTTCCGCTTCCCAGAATTCTCCTCTCTCCTTGTCCCACCTACTTCCTGCCTGGCAACCTACTTCCTGCCTGGTCACTGGCCATCAGTGTTTTATTTATATAGAGCAATATCCACAGCAGCATACTCCAAGTAAACTGGCCCAAGCGTTTCTGGGAGATTTTCCTGTCTCTACCTTCCATTTCCCCTAGGCTGCATTTCAGGTGTGCACTGCTGCATCTGGCTTTTTTATGTGAGTATCAGGAATTTAACTACTCAGATCATCATACTTGCAAGTGTTTTTACCTGCTGAACCATCTTATTGGCCTCTCAATTGCTTTTTGTGAGACATAGTTTTATGTTGCCCAGGCTGGCCTTAAACTTGTTATGTAGCCAAAGATCACCAATGAGCTCTGGATTTTTCTTCTCTGCCTCTTGAGTGCTAGTATTACAAGCATGTGCTACCTACCAAGGTAGGTTTATGTAGTATGGGAATAGACGATAGGACTTTGTCTATGCTAGGCAAGTAATGTTATTACTTCTAGGAGACTGTAGTAAAGATAAGAGCTCATATATGTTCATTTAAAATCAGACTTTGAAGAAGACAATAAGATTTTTGCACTACAATAGTTAGGACAGCACAAGGGGTTTATATAAATGTATAAAGTAATTTGAAATAGTTGAATATTGAATATATTTCCCAAGATTCTCCCAATACTTATCAGGACTTAGAAACAGATAATCTTTTCACTTAATGGTCATTTTGATGTTTTTCAGATGAGAAAATTGACAACCATGCCTGCAGGTCTGATGTATGCATCTGTAAATGTACATCTGGCCAAAGAAGAGGAACCCAAAAAGCAGCTAGTGAAACCAGAACAGGTAGGTATTTGGCCTACCAAAGTTTATGAATTTTGCATCATATAGGGATAATGGAAAAACTAGGTGTTTTTGCTACATCTATTATAATAGATGTTATCTATTTTATAAGTATAAAGAAATAGTTATGAGATATCTAAAATACATAGTATATTTAGTAGAAACACAAAATTGTAACTTAAAAATGGTGATTTTTTCTTAATGGCAAACCATTAAGAATGGGGTCTTCAGCCACAAAACTTTGCCCTACAGTTTGTCCTTCCTGAAGAATGTTCTGAGACTGGAGCCTAGCAGAATCCTCATCAAAGAGACCAGAGAGACTTCATCCAGCAACTGATGAGAGCAAATGCAGAGTCCCACAGCCAAACATTGGGCAGAGCTCAAGGTGTCCTGAGGAAGAGGTGGAAGAAGGATTGGATTGGAGGAACCAGAGGGATCAGGGACACCATGAGAACATGTCCACAGAATCCATTGATTGGGACCCATGGGGGCGGCAGAGATCAGGGAGCCTATAGGGGTCTGACCTAGGTCCTCTGCATATATGTTATGGCTGAGTAGCTTGGTGTTCTGTGGGATTCCTAACACTAGGAGCAGGGGATGTCTCTGACTCTTTTGTCTACTTATGCGACACTAGAGGAATCACTTTCTCATCAAAACTTATAATGTGTTGAGACTCGTGATGGTTTTGGGGTTATCCTAGAAGTAGGGCATTCCTTCTATTTCACCAGGATTGCCTGGCTTACTTTTTGGAGGCATCTTTTGCTTCCCATCCACCAACAGTGAGCCATGCACCTGGAGCTGTATTCAACTTGGCCTTTTTTCCATGAGTCCTTTTTCTCCATACTTGTTAGTTTCTTCTCATGCCTGTCCTATTTTGCTTTCTCTATGGCTGTGATAACACAATGACCAAAAGCAACTTGGGAAGGAAAGGTTTTGTTTTATCTTTAAAACTTACAGTCTATCATGGAGAAAAGTCAGGGCAGAAACCCAAAGCACCAACTGAAGCAGAGGCCTTGCAGGAATGATACTGACCTGCTTCTCCTAGCTTGCTCAGCTTGCTTTCTTATACCATGTAGAATCATCTGCCCAGAGGGGCTCCACCCAAAGTGGACTGGATCCTTCTACATCAGTTATTACTCAAAGAGTGCCCACCGCCTTGCCTACAGTCCATTCTGATGAAGGCACATGCTTAACTGAGGTTCTCTCCTTTCAGATGGCTCTAGCATATGTCAAGTTGAGAGAAAACTAACTAGCCTGTGACTGTGAGAATTTCTGATGCTCTTCTTTCCTTTATTTCTTTAGAATTTTAATCTGCCTTTTCTTATTCTGACTCCTCTCCTTCACCAGGTTACAGGGCAGCATTATCCAGTCTGCCACCTTATCTGAAAGGACTAAGATTTTTGAATAGCAAAACTAGTGGTTGTTTGCTATGTTATAGAACATACAGAATTCCCAAGTACATTTTAATTGGAATTAATTCATTTGCTTATTAAACAAGGCTGGTTGCTAGCTATATGCTAGGAAATATTTTTAAAAATCAGGATCTAATTTTTAAAAATTAGGATCTAATTTTGAGGAACTTAAAATGTCAAAAGGATGAAAATGTGATATACACACAGAATGCCAATGTATCTTTATTGTGTAATTTGGACAATACCGCTGTTTAAATCTACTTGTTAATACAATCTAAACCAAGTCAGAATACTTTGAATAAAGTGTTCTGGTTATTTTAAGTTTTTGTTAAATTTCTAGCTGAACAAAAAACTTCGATTCAACTTTTTTTATTAAACATCTTTTTAAAAAGGATCAATATGTTCTTGCTTTATTGAGTACCATTTAGTGAATGTAATTAAATCCTCCTTTAATAGAAAACTTTGCAGGGCTATGAGACAACCATCTTTTAACCAAGAAATTTGTAGATCACTAGAATGAATGGTCAAGCCATAATTATCCCTGGAAATTTCTTTTCTAACTTCATCAGTGTCATGAATTTGACTTATTTTATTGTCATTTGACGGTGTTGGATCATCCCTAGAACAGGAGTTAAAGGTGATTATGAGCTGCCATGTGGATCCTGGGAATTGAACTTGGGTTCTCTGCAAGAGCAGTCTGTGGTCTTAACTGCTGAGCTATCTCTCCAGCTCCACCATTTCCTTAAAAAGCAAAAACCAAAACCCAAAACTTTATGATGAACAAACATATAAATTAACTTTACCACATATAGGTTTTTTTTGGTGGGGGGCTCTCTATAATAAACCTGATATCTATATTTATAACTATATCTAACTAATTTAGAGCTACATCACTTTTCATATAAATTATAAATTTCTGGCACTCCTAAATACACATAGGTATGTGACAAACTTAAATCCAAGCCTTAGTTTGAAAGGAGAAAGAGACGCTCCTTAATCCTAGTATAGCTAGCAAAAAGCTAATTAATTATAAAACAAGAATAATGTTATAAGGCACATATACATTGTACAAGGCAAAAATCTAGCTAGTCAACATATGCACCATATCACATAGGTATCCTTTACATCTACTATCTCATCATACTATCCCATGTTTGTTTTTGGTAGATCTGCTCCAAAGGCATTAGTCATCTACTTCCTTTTCTGTTATCCCGGAAACTTGAGTCTCCTCAATTATATCCTCACCAACCTCCATGGAAAAGTGCCACACCCTGAGTATGAAATCATTCTTTTCTTTAAGCAAATAAGTCCTTACTTGTTTATTTTCATAAATTTTTATATTTATATTTGTTTTTATTAAGTATTGGTTAGAGTATATTTGACATTTGAAAGGTATAAATAATATAAAACCACAATGGATAACCATGTGCTTGCTACTCAGTTTAGAGGAAAGGCAAAATCTCCTGTATTCTCATCCCTTTATTGACATATACCCATGATTCCACTGAGTTTGTTTCATTCCCTTTTTATTTTATTTATTTTTCTTAAATTTGATTTAATGTAAATGTGGGTGTTTTGCCTGCATTCTTGCCTGTGCACCACATGTGTGCCTTGTTCCCACAGAGGCCAGAGAGGGTGTCGGATCCTCCCTGCAGAAGTTAAAGGTGGTTGTGAGCTGCCATGTCGGTGCTGGGAATTGAATGTGGGTCCTTTGGAAGAGCAACCAGTGCTCTTAACTGCTGAGGCTTTTCTCTAACTCCATTATTTCCTTAAAAAAACAAAACCAAAGCCAAAACACTTCATGGGACCTTATCTGTTTTGGTAAGCAATTTGGGTGTTTATACACATTTGAATTATATATTTATGGAACATACTTGCATGTAATTTTCTGCATCTTAGCATTTGGTTTAGTAGTAGTTTCTTTAAAGTCATCCTTATTTTTGTATGTAGTTGTAACTGATTTTTATTTTTTATTTTAATTGCAGCAGGACCTTACTATGTAGCTCCAGCTGGCCTGGAACTAGCAGTGTTGTTTAATTTGGCCTCAGACCTGTGAAGATCTGTCTGCCTCTGCCTCTGCCTCTGCCTCTGCCTCCCGAGTGCTGGGATTAAAGGCGTGCGCCACCACCGCCCGGCTTTTGCCCTAATTTATAATAGTCTGTGGTATGGATTATAATCCAGTTTAACTTTCTACTTTTCCTTTGGTGAATATTTGAGTTATTTCCAGATTTTTACAGTTAAAATTTTGCTAGGATTAAGGGCTGGTGAGATGGCTCAGAAGGTAAAGATCTGTACTGGCTAGTCTTATGTCAACTTGACACAAGCTAGAGTTATCTGAAAGGAGGGAACTTCAACTGAGATCAGCTGGAAGGCATTTTCTCAATTAGTGATTAAGCAGGGAGGGCCCAGTCCCTTGTGGGTGGTGCTATCCCTGGGCTAGTGGTCCTGGGTTCTATAAAAAAGCAGGCTGAGCAAGCCATGAGTGGCAAACCAGTAAGCAGCACTCCTCCATGGCCTCTGCATCAGCTCCTCCCTCCACGTTCCTCCACTTTTGAGTCTCTGTCCTAACTTCTTTCAGTGATGGACTATTGCATGGAAGTGTAAGCCAAATATACCCTTTTCTCCCCAACTTGATTTTGGTCTTAGTGTTTTCATCATAGCAATAGAAGTGCTAACTAAGATAAGGTCCTTACCATCAAGCCTAATGACCTATTTTCAATCCCTGGAATCCTCATGGTGAATTGAGAAAACCAACTCCCATATACCTCCACATGCACACCATAGCATATGTGTGCATAATCATGCATGCATACACACAATCAAATATAATTTAATTAAAAGATGCTAGGATTAAAACTAATGTGTCTCTCGGCTATGGTGATCAACATCTGTAATCCTAGTACTCAGGAAGCAGAGGTTGGAAAATCGTGAGTTTGAGGCCATCTTAGTACCTTGAACTACATAGTGAAGCCCTGTCATAGAAACAAAATAACAAACAAAACAACCCATATGTGACATCACTTGCTTCTGCTTTTCTAAATAGTTTTTATGTTCAGTTTATCATATCCTATTGGTAGTTTAGATTCTATAGACAATTTTAGCCGTTTTTAGGAGGAAGGTTGATTCCTGTTTTGACACAATGCAAGAAAAGGCAACCCAGGTATTTGTTTTTGACATGAACTTTATTCTATCCCCAGCTCCCCATATATACTGCACCACCTCTCCATTCTAAATATGTTGAAGAACAGCCTGGTTATTTACAAATGGGCTTTGCATCCATCCGTACTACAACTGTTCGTTATATTGGCTGGTGCAAGGTAAGTCTATTTTGATAGTAGATAAATATCAATGTTTTTGATTAATTGTTTCAGGTATTTATAGATGCATTTTTAAAAAGAGAAGAAACCACCTTGAAACTTAGTGGATTAAAATACTAAGCATTATTTTGAAAATTAGTAATATGATGAGAGTTCAGATAGCTGATTCTTCTATTCATATGATATTGCCTGAGGCCACTCAGTGGCATTCATCGAGCAAATGGGCTGAGCTAGAGAGGCCAAAATAGCTTAATTTGTATCTTTAACACCCTGTCAAGGGTGGCTGGCAGACTAGACTCAGCTGACATTGTTGACAGAGATGGAAGCTGATAGCACACTGATGTTTTATTACCATCACCATATAAATTTAGTTGTGTGTTGTTAACATCTCTACTGTGAGGATCTTAGTAATAGTGGTACCAGTGTTTTTCTAATTCTAGAGTAATAATCACAGCTTTTACTTCACCAACAAATGTAGCCTGGTTGTAAACCTGTGTACGTTTTTAACATTTATTTTATTATTTTTTGATAATTTCATACATGAGCACCATATTTTATATCAGTACATGAGTATTGTACTTACATCATTTCCACCCCAGCCTCTCCCTCTAACTCCTCCTGTGTTCCCACCACTCCCTCTCAATTTCATGACCTCTTCATTATTGATACACACACACACATGCACACATGCACACACACGCACACACATGCCCCCCCCCCCACATACACACACACTGTGAGTCTATTTAGTGTTGTTCATTTGTATATGTATTTAGGACTGACCACTTGGCATCAGATAGCCTATTAGGGTGCTTGTTTCCAGAGAACACTGGTTTCCCTTTAAGAGAAAAGGCCATTAATGAATTGCCTATGACTCTTAATCTGTGACTGGGGCCCTGTGAGATTTCCTATATCTTAGTTGGAATGTCAACTGATAGTATCGTTGTGAAGGTCTTGTTTAGGCTACCATGTTGTTAAGATTTCTAGATGCAGATTCCCTGTCATATATAGTTCTAATATATTCCTTTTAAAAAGAAAATTTTGAGGCTGGTGAGATGGCTCAGTGGATAAAGACACTTGAGATGCAAGCCTGGTTACCTGAGTTTGATCCCCAGAACCCATGAAAGGAAGAAAAAGAGAAACAACTTCACACAGTTGTTCTCTGCCTGACTTCCACACACTGTGTGCATATGTACACAGATACACATACATACACACACACATACACACACACACACACACTAATCATCATCATCAAGAAATTCAATGAACTTATAAAAAATAACATCCTTCGGTGAAATATCTAATCAGTGAACTCTGATGAATCTGGATGGTATTTCAAACATGACATGGGGTTATTTTTGAAAGTTTGTGCTTGTCATACAATTCCAGGGTACTGCTTGTGCTAGTCATCCTTAATAATGTGATCTCTGTGGGAAATATCTTTACTAATTGTGGTCTGAGTCATGCCCCTCAGGCTATATGCCAAGAACTAGATGATTCAGACTTAGGTCTCTTGAGACCTAATTTTCTATAGTGTACTCAGATGTGTCTTCAGTGAGGTAATTGTTCCTGAGAGATCTTTAAATTGCTATTGTAACTATCACCCAATTTAAGACTGAAAGAACATTTTATTCTGTTAATATGCTGAAGCAAATAGGTTGATGAAGGGCACTTTCAAATGCATTTCATCTTCAATGTAAACAACTTTTCCTCTCTAATTTTCTCCTAAATACGCAATCTATTCCTCAAAAAAAAAAGTCTGATTTAAATTACTTCTTTGTGAAAAGTAGCATCATGTAGTGCAAATTCAAGTGCATGCTCCTAGCCTACACTTTAGTGTCTTGAAATTTAGGTAACAGTGCCCCCCAGTGGTAAAAATGAATTCTTCAGCACAGCTAAAGAAAATTTCCCCAAAGACCAGTTTTCTTCCTTGATGGTTAAATACTTCAACACAGATCAGTAAGTATTTTAATGCTGCAGTTGATGTTTTCTGAGTCACTCACGAGAAATGTCTCAGTGTCACTATATGTTTTATGCTAGTTTGTATAGCTTTAAACCAGGGGGAACATCTATGCTCATTCTTAAACTGAGACAAAATTAGTAGATCAAGACATCTCATTTCCCTCAGTTGTTTCTAATACAATTGTTTCTGTTCTTCTGCACTGAAAATATATATTATTCTTGTTTCCATGTCATGGTTTCATACATAAGGAGGCCATATGTTCGGATTGTGTTTTCTTGTTTGTACAAGAGAATCCAGCATGGAATATAACAAGATTCTGAGTAAATTTCCTCTAGTGTAAGTGAGACAACATCTACTATTCAATGAATATAACAATATCTTGGCATTCAAGTAAGTTAGAAACAAATAAACAGAAAAAACATTGCTTTAGCGCATTAATCCCTTTGGTGGGTTAGTATAATCTTGATTTATGGACAATTTATATTCGTATTTAAAAATAAATGCCTCATTTGTTTTTTTCTCATTCTAATTGCACACTATGATAAAGGGAAGAGATAAAGTGCTTTTCATTAGGCCTTTCCTGTTTTTGTTTTTTTCTCTACAAATCATTATGCTGTTGCTATTGAATCCTTATTAGTCAAACAGTTTGTGTGTGTGCTGTGACATACCCCACTTCATGATTTATTTAAGATCCATTCATTTTTTTCCAGGCCATTATATAGTAAGATGATAAGTCATTATAAAATTTTCAGTATCTTTTCTGTGAAGTCACTGATTATTTTAAAGGTATTACTTTACCCACTTTTATGAAGAAAATAATACACCAGAATTACTATGTTAAATAAAATGGAAAGTAAGAGATGAAAATATGATAGAGTAAGCAAATGTGCTCATAGTGAATAAACAGAAAATCTGGATTTAGATTTGAGTGCAATACTAAATCAACAGCTAAATGTAATCTCAGAATTGTGGGCTATTATGTCAATCAGCCACTTCAAAAATCTACATCTCTTTTGTTCTCCTTTTTTTTTTGGCTTAGGGTGTTTATATCTTTATGAAGAATGGGATAATGGATACAGTACAATTTGGAAAAGGTAGGTGAGTAAACCATCTATAAGTAGAAATGTATTATGGTTTAAGTTGTATCGTTTAAAATTTAAGAATATGAACATAGCATATTATCCATTACTATGATTACACTGATGTAGAAGATAGATTCTGTACTTTATCTGTAACAATAACACAGCAATAGTATGCACTATTTATTTTACAATTTATTACATGCTGAGGCCTCGTCACATTGCTGAGTGTTGCTATAGAGTTTTCTCTAACAGATTAGAAAATGAGGGTTAGAAAGTTTAACTAGGTTCCCAAGGTTACTAGGAGGCAATGCCCAGATTCAAACTCAGGTCATCTTTAACTAAAGTCCACATTGTATATTTATAAAACATAAGGTAAAGATATATCCCCCCCCCTTTTTTTTTGGTTTTTCGAGACAGGGTTTCTCTGTGTAGTTTTGTGCCTTTCCTGGAACTTACTTGGTAGACCAGGCTGGCCTCGAACTCACAGAGATCCGTCTGGCTCTGCCTCCCGAGTGCTGGGATTAAAGGCGTGCACCACTACCGCCCTGCTATATTCCCCCTTTTGCTAATTAGTTTAAATAAATGTTATTATCTGTTAAAATACATTATGCTTTTTTTTATCAGTTGCTGGGAAATTACATAGCAATCACTCATCTTGAACTGTTTCAGCTAATGTTGGAAAGTAATTGTATTTGATGCTTTAGCTTCTTAATGGTATTTGGCAGCAGACTTAGCTCCCCAATATTCCTTGCCTAGAGCAGTTGGCAAAAGTAAACATATGGAAAACACAAAGAAAAATCAGCTAAAATTTTAGGTATGTACAATAAGCTTAATGAACTTTATTTGAAATATTATTACTTAATATGAATTAAGGATTAACATTTCTTATCAATAGTTTTTGAGACAAGGTCTTACTATGTATCCTAGGTGAACCTGGAACTCATTATCTTCCTGTCTTATCATCTCAAGTGCTGGGTTAATGCATGCAACAATATACCCAGCTATCTTTCATTAATCTTGAGGAACATAATAATATATGTGATTATCGTCAAATAACTATGATAGAAGAGTATATTTTTAGATCTGGAAACAATTTGAATTTATAAAACACCAAGGCATATATACTTTGGATTATGCTTTATGTGTTTTTGTCTTGATCTTTAGTTTTAACCAATGGCTAATGTGAGGTTATTGGAAATAGTGACAAGAGGTGTCTAATTGCAAAACTCCTTTATAAGATAGCATTAATTCTTGCTGGATCCTACCAATGTTGAAGCCTGTTCATTGGAGGGATATAAAACATATATAATCATGTGGTTGATATATTATGCACCCCAATAAACTTATCTGAAAAAAAAGATAGAAATAATAGAATAAAAGGGTAGATTATTAAATATACTCTGGGAAAAAAAGAGATATAGAAATTATAGAATAAAGGGTAGAATATTGAATCTACTCTGAAAAGTAAAAAGAGACAATATGGATATGATAAGATAAAAGGTAGATTATTGAATCTACCTTTAAAAAGGAACTACTTGTTTTAAATAGGATAAGTAATGAAATTTTTTGTCTGAATTTGTCAAATGTTAATGTACTGGACATTGTTAATGTATATAATGGAGTTTTCTGTCTGAATCTGTCAAATGTTAGTGGACTAGACATTGTTAAAATAATTCTTGACAGTATATATTGTATACACTTATTGTATATACTTTTTCTTATTAGTTATAACTTTTTTATTTTAAATAAAAAAAGGGAAATGTGGTTGATATATTATGCACCCCAATAAACTTATCTGGGTGTCAGAGAACAGAACAGCCACTATATTAAACATAGAGGTTAGGCAGTGGTAGTGCATGCCTTTAATCCTAGCATTCCAGAGGCAGAGATCCATCCGGATCTCTGAGTTCACAGCCACACTGGAAACATCCAGGCATGGTGATACACACACCTTTAATCCCAGGAAGTGATGGCAGGAAGCAGAAAGGTACATAAGGTGTGAAAACCAGGAACTAGAGGCTCTTTTAAGTTTTTAGGCTTTTAAGCTTTTAGCTTTTGAGCAGCAGTTCAGCTGAGATCAATTCGGATGAGGACTCAGAGGCTTCCAGTCTGAGGAAACAGAATCAGCTGAGAAATTGGCAAGGTGAGGTTAGTGTGGCTTGTTCTGTTTCTCTGATCTTTCAGCATTCACCCCAATACCTGGCTCTGGGTTTGTTTTTATTAATAAGACCTTTTACAATTCATGTTACATCATCAGGAACTTATTTTATCGTACTTCTTATTTAAGCTGTACCTTCTAGAGTCATAGTTCATTTAATAATAATATTAATGCATGTCATAAAGAGAGCAAGTATTAAAAGACCTATGGAAGGTAAATTTGATTTTGTAGTTAGTATTATAATACATGATTTGTTTCTGTCCTTATCAATTTTTTGTATAACTTATTTAAAGAGCACTTCAACTACTCACTAACATTATATTGCCTACCCCTGACATACGAATCTCCAGATGTTCTGTACTGTCCTTATGTAGACTGTCCAATTGTAGTCAGTCATTCTTACCCATTGTTAACTGGTCTCTTCAGATGCATATGTCTATCTGAAGAATCCTCCTCAAGATTTTCTTCCCAAAATGGGAGTGATTACAGCTTCAGGGCTGATGGGTTTGGTTTCAGCAAGAAAAGGTATGTTTATAAAATATATTTTCTCTTTCAATGAAATTATATTTTGTTCTGAATTTTACCTTAATGACATTTATTGGATAATGTCAGATTGGGTTAGTATAAGATGTTTAGGTTCTTTACTGTACCATATTTATGTCTATAAAGGTTAAGCTTACCACACTAACTGTAATGAAGAATGGAGAACAACTGAAATTCTTCTATTCTGCTGGTAAAAAAGCAAAGTGATAGAGGAATTCTACAAAATTGTCCCATGCTTTCTCATAAAGTTAAACATACACTTATCAAGCAACATAGGAATCACATTTCTAAGTATTTACTTACCCTAGATGTCCTGACTAGTCTTGTGTCAACTTGACACAAGCTAGAGTTATCTGCAAGGAGAGAACCTCAACTGAAAAAATGCTTCCATAACATCCAGCTCAATTAGTGATTAATAGTGAGGGCCCAGCCCATGGTGGGTGGTGCCACCCCTAGGCTGGTGGTCCTCGGTTCAATAAGAAAGCAGGCTGAGCAAGCCATGGGAAGCAAGCCAGTAAGCAGTACTCCTCCATGGCCTATGGATCAGCTCCTGCTTCCAGCTTCCTGCCCTGTTTAAGTTCCTGTCTTGATTTCCTTCAATGATGTACAGCAATGTGGAAGTGTAAGCTAATAAACCTATCTGAAAAAATAAAGATAGAAATAATAGAATAAAAGGGTAGATTATTGAATCTACTCTGAAAAAAATATAGAAATGATAAAATAAAGGGTAGATTTTCTTTTTCTCCCCAACTTGCTTTTTGGTCATGGTGTTTTGTTGCAGCAATAGAAACCCTAACTAAGACATTAAGAGAAATGAAACACCCCTACATGAATGCTTATAGCAATTGTTAATAATCATGAAAAAGCTGGAAACAAGGTAAATAGTCTTCAAACAGGTAAATGGATAAAGGAATCTGTGTCACATCCCTACAAAGGAAAACTATTCAGCATCATAATAATTTGAGCTATTGGTGCATATAACATTGATTGTGAATTTGAAAGTAGGGAGTGTATATATGATTCTGTTTATATGACATTCTCAAAAAGACAAAATTAGAATGACAGAAATTAGATTGTTAGTTGCTTAAGGTTAAGAATGTAGGAAAGGATAATATGAAGTATTTTTAGTTATATGATATATATTAAAATGTACAAATATATGACTTTTTAAGCACAATGTCAAAAAATATATAGCTGTTGCAATTAAAATTGTAATTTGCTTTTTTGTTGTCTAATTATAATTTTGTTTTTTTTTAATCTGAAGAAATTTATACTACCAAAAAATTCCTGAGAATTGTATGTTAATATAAAGATGTACACTGTCCACTCAAAACTGCTTTTCTTAATAATACTACTCATACTGGAAACTATGTGAAGTATTTGAGGAAGATATGCTTTATCTCAGATAAAATCTGGTTTACTTTTGGTTTTATCCTGACCAAAGTAATTGAAATTAATATTAGCCAGATGGGAATGAAGTCTGTAAAAGTGAGTAACTCAGTCTACCGCTCTTATTCACTATTCACTATGATACGATATATCTGCTTTCTTTATACCTCTTTGTACAGTGTATCTGTACCTACTTTGCTTTTCCATCTGACTATAGCTCTCATGTGAATCGTCTGATAAGATTACAATCAGGCTCATGACTAGTGGCAAAGACTCACAAGGCTCAGTATGTAGTCATGGTCACAGAATCAGAGGGTATAAAATGAATTTAAAAGGAGGGTGACATAGTTTAGAAAAGAATTGGTTGTAAATTTCTAGAAGTCTTTTCCCAGGGACTAATACAACATATACTTAATTTCTCTAGTAACAACTTGAGATGATATGAACAAAGCCAACAAGTGTCGAGTGACAGTGATGGGCAGAAGAGTGGCCAAGTTTTTGTTGAGGTCTAGTCACCTAAACAGTATCTATCTAACAAAATTCCAGACTTCCAAGAGGAAAAGTTCTCAGACGCTAGCAGAAGCTCCTAAGGCAGCAGTCTTGAGTTTACTGTGTTAACTCTTTTCATGCATGCTATTTAACAACCCTGTTTTATATGCACATCATCAAGTTTTAGCTGTTTTCCATCAGATTATTATTTCTTTATATTGAGTGCTTTTGAGCTCTTTTATATTCCTAAAATATATAATAGGTTATTATAAGCTAAAGTAAGCTCACTGTTCTATATAGGTCCTTAGAACTGATTATCTCCATGTAACTGTGTTTGGTAATTTTCGTCCAACTCACTTCTGTATCTTTTCCCTTGAATTTTGAAGGGGATTGTCCACAATGCATTACTTAGTTTCTTAATTACAATGTAGTAATCTTCTGGTAAGAGAAAGTATTCCTTAGGTCATTTGTCATGTTTCTGAATGTGAGAGCTGGAATAATATGTCAGTCACTTCATTTTTCAGACTGCAGTTCTCAAACTACTAGTGAGTAGTGAAGTAAACATAGTAGATCTGAGGGTGTATTTTATTTCAAATGATAGAAATTATGAGAGAGTAGCAAATACAGTGCTTTGTGCTTACTATTTGAGTAAATATCATGAAAATTTTGTCTCAGAAATGTACTATGTGTGATAGATCAGAAATCATCATGTAACCTTATTCTTCATCTGGGTCATAGTACAGCTAAAGGAAGAAAGCTTTCTTCTAACCCTACTGTACTGAAGATAGAAATCTAAAAGAAAACCATTTGCATGTTTCTAAGTGCACAACACACAGCTAATGAGTATCTGTGTTTAGTATTCTTCCTTAACCAGAAAAGTATAACTGTTGAACCTTCATGATAAATATCATTTTGCAGAATGGTTTCTTATATACAAGTAAGAAAGAGTGAATGTCATTTTTTCCGATTGTTTATTAAAAAAAAAAAAAAACCAAAAACAAAACCCTGCCATACACCACCTTAATTCAGGGAATTTTGATGAATTAGGAGATCCTAATCCTGACATATTAGGATTGTTAAGTCAAGAACTAAACAAAAATCCTGAGGAGGAGCAGAGTTGAGATTCAGTTTAGGATATGCTTTAAGTAGTCTAGACTTTCTCTCCCTATACCACAGAAAGCAGCCTTCCTACCTACTTTAGCCAAGCTCAGTCTATTGTTAGACCTGACTTTAACAGGCTTCTTTAAAAATAATTAAACCACACAAAGAAAACACAAGGTTTGTAACATTTCACAAACTGCAAAGTTAGCAGCAATCATTGTCAGGTATTTTTTCACCTTAATATTTTGCTATTTCCTTTTTAAATATGGGTCTAAAAAGCTGTTAGAAAGAGTTAACAACTTACTCTAGTTGAAAAAGCGACATGTAATTGCTTAGTCTCATTCAGAGTCCACCATACCCAGACAGACATTTAAGAGGCCTGTCATTTGGAAGTAGTGCTCTTGGAGGTCTAAGCTTTAGCACAGAATGCTGTATTTCCCACTGTTATACAGCATTGCCGTGGTTCTTTGGAAGTGTTTAGGGAGAGTGTGGGGATAAGATAAAAGCTGTGTGACAGGGCTTGATACAGAACTTCTTATACTCAGGTTAATCAGAGCGATTTCAAGTTGACAGGCTCCTAGTGAGAACCTAGTAAGATTCTCTTTGGAATTTTTTAAAAAGAGATTTTGCTGTCAAAAAAAATGATATGAAAATGACTCTTAGATGCTTAGTTAAGGCACTTTTGAAAACGCATTAATTATGTCAAGCTAATTGTAATTAGTATTACTTCAGTATTCTGAATCAGTGACATGAAGGAGTTATGTACCTTTCGAGGTCGTTAGCTGATTGGTTAGTTGGGTCCTTCACCTTTCTAAGTGTTAATCAGAAAGGGCATATAGAAGAGAGTCCATTTCACTTTAACCTGCTTTGATTAATTCTCCTATCATGCTTTGTTAGATATTTGAAAAAAATGTAATTATAATTTTTAAGTTTCTTAGGATATGAAAAATAATCTTTTAAAAAAGAAGATAATTACTAATTCCTTTGTGTAGATAATTATTAGGTTCAGAACATTTTTCTTAAATTGGACATGATGGCTAAGGGACATTAATTGAATTGAGAGCCTTAAGGGCATTTTAGGTACAATCTTGATTGGTATTACTAACTAAAGAGTAATTTGATATACAGTGATAGCTTAAAGAGGGGCAAAGAAAATATTATAGTATAATAACATCAAGTCTCTGATGGTATGTATTTTGAGTGAATGATTTGTTTGAATTTTGTAGGTTCTAGGTTTAAGAAGATTGCTTATCCACTAGGATTGGCCTCATTAGGAGCAACTGTTTGTTACCCAGCTCAGTCAGTAATAATTGCAAAGGTAAGTTCCTTTTAAGTGAGAGCAGTGTTTGTTTAAACTCCTAATGTGACAATATTTAAATGCCACACAAAACCTTAAACATTTGATTTTCAGAGGCATCTAGGTGAAATAAACTCTTGGGTTGGCACAATTACATTAGCATCTTGTCATGGAAAATGTCATTTTCAATTTTATGATCATCATAAATAAATAGGATGAATGTGTTTAACTATAGTTCAGCAATGTAAAAGCAGGTTGACGGATCAAGTTCAGAGAAAAAATGGGAATTTATGGGGAGAAATACTGCTTCATAGTTGGGACTATATAAATGTGCTTTTTTCTTAGTTAACAGAAAATTATACCTGCCGGCAGCTACTCAGTTCAGAAGATTAACACAATGCAAGAAATAGCGAAATAATAGATTACAGAGACTTCTGAGATTAAAAAAATACAGAAACAAAGTGAATTTTGAAACCAGTGTAAAAAAATACCATCATCCAGCTCATTGTAATTGCTGCACATTTAAATAGTCTCCTAATAATTTGAACAATTTTTAATGGAAGTTTCCTTTTTGCAATGATAGAATTTAGTCCCAGAGTCCCAGACACTGTGCTGGTCAAGCCATAAACTATATTTCCAGGCCTTGTATTTTTACCATGAGTTCAAATTCAGAAGCACAGATTTGGGGTATACAAGTTTTTCTTCTTTTCTGCCATTAGTTATCAACATTTAATATTTCAATTCATACTTAAATATTGTTTCCAAAAGGATGTTCTGTACTTGTATTCTCACTACTATATCTCTTTAATTGTTGATGTAGATAAAACTGCTTTCTTCAATATTTTGAAAATGTCATGGATATTATGAACTCTGCAGTTTATAATGTGATCAAGCTATAAAAGCTTATAAAAGGAAAAGAATATTATTCATTAAATCTAGTTATACTTGAGAAAATTGCTGGATAGAGTGATGAATTTTTTACAAAAGACTCCTTCCTATGAATTTACATGAGAATTAGACACTCAAATTAATGTCGATGCTGAACGAAAACTTGAGCTCATTTTATGTAACCTTTATATTGTTCTCATTTGCTGATAAGCAAATGATGGCCCACTGAAGCTTCCCAGGGACTACCTTATCTGAAGTCACACTCAGCTTTAGGCGTCCCACATTTCTATCTGTTACTATTCCCACTGGAGGATGCTGCCACTGATTCTCTTCTTTTTCTTTTTACAGTAATTTTTCTGTGCATATGTGTATGAGTGTGTGTTTATTTTCATAAAAATGATACCAATTCATCCTTAAATATAAGCATTAGAGAAAAGTTTAGGCTAGAAGAAATATAACCACTAAAATATGCTTCCAACCATAAAAATATCAGTATCAAAATCTCTTGGAATATTCTTCTAGCCGTGTTTACATGATTACATAGAAAGATAGATGAGTAAATATGTAGAATAGAATAATGTCATAGTATAGATCTTTTTAAATTAAGTGTTTAATTCATTTTAACAAAGGAAAAAACTTAAAGACTTATTGAACTTTAATATTAAATTCTGAAAATTATTCTACAGTAAATCACCAAAATTTCTAACAATGCAACTCTTGCTTTTTTGAAATTTTGTCAGATTAGAATATACATATATGTACATATATAAGATAAGTAAATAGATAAAATATGGCTTTTTGATCTAAAATCCATGATAGGACTCAGAAAGTCTATGACTCCTACACTATCTAAAATTGTATGGAAAAAATGTTTGTATATAATACATTCTGTTTATTTTGTATTACCAGGACTGGTACATAGCAATTACCTGAAAAATTGAAAGCAATATATATCTGAAATTTTAATTCAAATTGTACTATGTCTATTTTCTCTACTTGATTGTTTCAAATGTTTGTGTGTACATATCCATGCATGTGTGTACACAGGTAGGTGTTCATGTATATACGTGCACATATGTAAGCATGTACATGTGAAGGCTGTAGGACAGCCTTGTGTACCATCCTCAGGAACACTATATACCTCCTTTGAGGTAGGGTATCTCATTGGCCTGGAGCTCACCAATTAGGCTAGATCAGCTTGCCAGTTAGTTCCAAGGATCATCATGCTTCTGCTTCTCCAGATCTCAGATTATAATTAGACACTATCACACTGGACATTTTTATCTTGGTTATGAGCATTGAACTAAGGTTCTTTGCTTGCAAAGCAAACACTATACTGACTGAACCATGTCCTGTAACCCCACCTCCTTTTCACTATTTTAAAGGAAGGTTGTTCACTAGATATTAGGGTTTTTTGTTAAGATCTTTGACATCTTTCTTACAATAATAATATATATTTAAAAATTACATTTCCATTTTCTATTAGTTTCTTTCAAATAGGGAAAATCATTTGAATAAACATGGTTGCAGAATCCACCTCAATTTTATATGTGTGTGCATGTGGATGTGTCTCCCAGCTTTTTCAATGGCTAATCTTAAAGAAGTTATATTTTAAACATTCAGTTTCAAATCTTTCTAATGCATTTAAGTCAGTTTTCCTAAAAACATATTTTAACTCATATTTTGTCTGTCATGTTGTACTTAAATTGTTTAGTTTCAAATGAAACTGGTATAGAAACTTATAGAAAAAGTAAACGTAAGACTGTGAGTCAACTTGCAAAAGAAGTCATCATATTATGTGAAATAAGCTAGATTCAGAAAGACAAATATTGAATCTTTTCTCTCATTTATGGTTCCTAATTTACATATTGATGCATAAAAGCACACACACATGAATGTGATATGGAAATGTATCTATGTGCACAAATATATGACATGAAAGCATAAAGGAGACTAATGGAAGGAAGAAGACTCAAAGGAAGAAGGAATTGGGAGTGAATATGGTCAAAGGACATGATATACTTGAAAGCAATTGTGTTTAGGAAACTTATCATGGAGGAAATTTTGCAAGGCAATTTGGAAAAGATGTATTTTATATTGAAAGTAACCACTAGTGATCAGTATTCAAAATTCTGCAAGTATTTTTTACTATAAAATAAACCTTTCACTTGGACTGGAGAGGTGGCTCAGTGGTTAAGAGTACTTGGTGCTCTTCAGAGGACCCAGGGTCAGTTCCCAGCACCCACACAGTGGCTCACAACCATCTGTACCTCCAGTTCTAGGGAGTCTAATGCCCTCTTCTGCACAAGTGACAGCCATGCATATGCTGCACATATGTATATGCAGGCAAAACATTCACACACTTAAAATAATGATAATTAAAAAGAAGTAAATAAAATAAATTTTAGAAACTCTGTGGCTACTCAGACAAGTCTCCTTACAAGGATATCAGATAAGAGCTTTTCTATTGTAAGTATTTTTCTTTTTGGAAGGAAAGGGTTGTCAGCTTTCAAAACAAGTGACAGTCCAGACAGTAGGTGAATGAAAGTCTCACTTAGTATGACACTATTGTTTTTTCAAACATTTTCTTTACAGTATTTCATCATTAACTTTATATAAAAATTAACCAAGTAGTCTGTCTTTGGACTTTGTAAAGCATCTAGGAATAAACTTTTATTTGTAAAACTTAAAGTTAACTGAGCTTTATTAACTTTGTGATTAGAAAATTACCTCAAAATATGTTAAATATGTCATTTAACAGGGGTAAAGACTGCTATATGGTAATGATGGTACTTTACATTAGTATATAAAGGAAGGATGCATTATTTAAGAATGTGTTGGGCAGGCAGTGGTGGTGCACGCCTTTAATCCCAGCACTTGGGAGGCAGAGCCAGGCGGATCTCTGTGAATTCGAGGCCAGCCTGGTCTACAGAGTTAGTCCAGGACAGACTCCAAAGCTACAGAGAAACCCTGTCTTGAAAAAAAAGGTTTACATCCTTAGTCATCAGGGAAATGCAAATCAAAGCAACTCTGAGATACCATCTTACACCTGTCAGAATGGCTAAGATCAAAAATACTGAAGACAGCTTATGTTGGAGAGGATGTGGAGCAAGGGGAACACTCCTCCATTTTTGGTGGGAATGCAAACTTGTACAACCACTCTGGAAATCACTATGGTGACATCTCAGAAAATTGGGAATAAGTCTTCCTCAAGACCCAGTTATACCACACTTGGGCATATACCCAAGGAATGCTCAATCTTACCACAAGGACACATGCTCAACTATGTTCATATCAGCATTATTCATAATAGCAAGAACCTGGAAACAACCTAGATGCCCCTCAACTAAATAATGGATAAAGAAAATATGGCACATATACACAATGGAGTACTACTCAGCAATAAAAAACAATGATATCATGAAATTTGCAGGCAAATGGATGGAACTAGAAAATATCATCTTGAGTGAGGTAATCCAGACTCAGAAGGACAAACATAGTATGTACTCATTAATAAGTGGATACTAAATGTGAGGGAAGGGATGGCCAGACTGCAACCCACAACTCCAGAGAGGCTAGCTAACATGGAAAGACCCTCTGAGGGACACATAGATGACCCTGTGAAGGAGAAGTGGATGAGATCTATATGAGTGGACTAGGTGTGGGGGGTGGCAGAGGGAAAGGAGTGGGGGAAGAAAACTTAGGGAAATGGAAGGGTCAAGCTGGAACAGGGACAGAGTGGGAGGGTAGGGAGGAAGATACCATGACAGATGAGGACATCATGGGAATAGGAAGAGACAGGGTTCTGGGGAGACTCTCAGGAATCAACAAGGTTGACCCCACCTTGCTCTTCTGGCAGTGGTCCAGAGGGTGCCTGGACTGGTCTACTCTAGTAACAAACCTAGCAAATAACCTAGCTGTCAACATAGAGCCTTTGTCCAATAACTGATGGAGGCAGATACAGAGATTCACTGCCAGGCACCAGGCTGAGGTCCTGGAATCCAATTGATGAGAGGAGAGATACTGCAGGCGAGGGACATCGAGATCATGATGGGAGGACGTGCAGAGATGACTGGCCACACTAGTGGAAGCCCATGAACTGTGGACTGGTGTCTGTGGAGACCCCATGGGACTGGACTAGGCCCTCTGGATACGGAAGATGGTTGTTTGGCTCAAACTGTTTGGGGGGCACCAGGCAGGGGGATCAGGATCTGTCCCTGGTCTATGGGCAGGCTTCTGGAACCTGGTGCTTTGCACAGCCTTGGTGCAGTGGGAAGGGGCTTGGACCTGCCTAGGCTCAGTATGCTGGGCTCTTCTGACTCCCCATGGGAGACCTCAATTTGGGGGATGTGGGGATGCAGGGTGGCTTGGAAAAGAGGGCTGGGGGATGGGAGGAGGGGGTATCTATGGATAGTATGTGGAGTGAGTAGAAAATTAAAAATAGAAAAATAGAAAAGAAAAGAATGTGTTGGGATACTGAAGAGCTTTACTATGTATCAAGTATAAATAAATCCTAGATGGAATAAAGGCCTACTCATAAAATGAAATGGTATTTAAAATGTAAGAGGAAAAAGAGAGGTATATTTTAACTATTTTTAAATAAGTTACATCTTAAGTAAACCACAATCTTGAAGCCATCAGAGGAAAAATGATACATTTCACTATATAAAATGATTACAGTAAGCCACATACAAAGCTTAATAAATAAATGAAAAAAAATGGAAAAACTATTTGTAATGTATACAACAAAAGTTAACATCCTGAATATATTAAGAACTCATATAAAAATAATAAAGAGATGAGTACTCTTTAGAAAAGTAGAAAAAGTATACAGATAGGCAGTAGACAGTATAAGATGTATAAATGGCCTAACCAAAGATACTAAGTTTTTATCTGCAGTTGTTGGTTGTTTTTTTTTTTTTTTTACTCTTTGGGGGGGGGGGGCGTGCCACCCAGCTCCCAAATAAATCACACACAGAGTCTTATTCTTAATTATGAATGCCCACCTTAGCTTGTTTCTAGCCAGCTTTCCTTAACTTAAATTACCTGTCTGTCTGTTGCCTCTGGGCTTTTCCCGTTCTCTTACTACTGTAAATTTTATTCTTGCTCCATGGCTTGCTGTGTAGCTGAGTAGCTGGCCCCTGATGTCCTCCTCCTTCTCTGGCTACTTACTTCTTCCTTTTTTCTCCCAGATTTCTCCTTCTATATATTCTCTCTGCCTGCCAACCCCACCTATCCTTTCTAATGCCTCGCCATTGGCTGTTCAGCTCTTTATTAGACCATCAGGTGTTTTAGACAGGCACAGTAACAAAGCTTCACAGAGTTAAACAAATGCAACATAAACAAACATAACACACCTTAAAATAATATTCTACTACAAGCAGTTGCATAAATGTCAATTTAAGAGATCATGTATATTTTGATACTGGGGGAATTTTTATTTTTTTTAACAGTGTTGTGGATAAAGCATCATGTACGTTAGACAAGTACTCCTATAATGAGCGTACACATCCATAAATGCTCATTTTTTGTCTTTCAGCTTCATAAAGACTTAAAGGAATAATAATTTTGCTGTTAGCTAATAAGAGTGAGAAAACCAAAGTATGTATGTGGTGGAAGTGTAAATTGTTGCTGTTTATTGCTAACTTTTTGACAATATAACATCTTACAAAAACCAAATTAGAATGATTCTTAATCCAGAAATTTCACTTCTAGGAATTTATTCTGAGAAAATACTGCAACTGTGAATGACCTAGTTGTATGTATAAGGAATAGGATGCTAATTTCATCGTTTATACCTGTTTTCATGCTGTATTATTTCTTTTTTTCCCTATGCTGTGGAATGAGTATAGAGCCTCATCCATGTTAGACAAGACTCTACCATAGGGTTTTATTTCCAACCCTGAATTGCTTAAATTTTTCAAGTGATAGTATGCAATTAATAAAAACAATAATTTTTTTAATTTGAAGAATAAAAAATTGCTTAAAAAATACACACGTTTGTCAAAAGTGTAATTTTGTAAAGTTCTCTATTAAATCTTAGTAGTTGTATACTGTAATCGTGAGGAAGAATGGGGAAAATTAAGAAGGAACCAAAAGATATTCAAAGGGAAAATGCTCTTAGTAGAAATTAACCCAGACTGACGAACATGGAACTCGGGATCTTCTAGACAGGTGACGTCACTCCCAGCTATCTTTCTATCAGAAACGAATGTCAGTCTCTTAAAAAATTAATTGATGTCTTTTATTTCTCAGTGAATGGAGAAAGATCCATAAAGGTTAAAACAGTCATTGCATCTTAGAAACCTCATTTTTCTCAGTTATCTGTTTATTCTCATTCTCTCTCTCTCTCTCTCTCTCTCTCTCTCTCTCTCTCTCTCTCTCTCTCTTCTCTTTATTTTCTCAAGACAGGGTTTCTCTGTGTAGCTTTGTGCCTTTTCCTGGAACTCGTTTGGTAGCCCAGGCTGGCCTTGAACTCACAGAGATCCGCCTGCCTCTGCCTCCCGAGTGCTGGGATTAAAGGCGTGCCCCACCACCGCCCGGCTTCTGTTTATTTTCTCAAAATATTTCTTCCTAAAATTTGTAGATGCAATTTTCACTTAAAGTCCTCTAATAGGAGCCACCTGGCCAGATCAGAAATGGCAGGACACAGAATGAAGAATCTTGAGTGGTGTCATACACGTGGAATCTAGAGAGGTTAAAACAGAAAAGCAAATTGCAAATTACTGGTTGCTGGGGGCTGGCAATGGAAGGAAATGGGGAAGTGAGATGTTTGGATATACTGAAAGTTATAGGACAAAATGTTAGGAGACAAAAAAGTTCATGAGGTCTTTCTATAGCAGGGCAATTATAGTAAATGTATATATTGACTACCTGAAATTTGCAGAGGAAGTTGATCTTAAGTGTTTTCATCCCAGATATATGAAAGGTAACTACATGAGCTGATACCTATGTTGGTAAGCTTGGCTATAGGAGTGAATAAAAAAAAGTATATGTATACCAAAGTATTATGTTGTTTACCTTAAGTAGAATTTTTATTTGTACTGCCTCTATAAAGTTGAAAAAATATATTTTTTTTTTTTTTGGTTTTTCGAGACAGGGTTTCTCTGTGTAGCTTTGCGCCTTTCCTGGAGCTCACTTGGTAGCCCAGGCTGGCCTCGAACTCACAGAGATCCGCCTGCCTCTGCCTCCCGAGTGCTGGGATTAAAGGCGTGCGCCACCAATGCCCGGCGAAAAAATATTTTAAAATAATAAAATAGGGACTGAGGTGTGGCTCCTTAGAGTGCTATGTGCAAGGCCCAGAGTTCATTCTTAACACTATAAAAATTATTAAAATAGCTGGGTGGTGGTGGCACGTGCCTTTCATCCCAGCACTCGGGAAGCAGAGCCAGGCGGATCTCTGTGAGTTCGAGGCCAGCCTGGTCTATAGAGTGAGATCCAGGACAGGCACCAAAACTACACAGAGAAACCCTGTCTTGAAAAACCAAAAAAAAAAAAAAATTAAATAAGCATAATTTAAATTGATGTTATATTATGAAAGGAATTATGTATTTGTTAGCCCTTTATAGGAAGCTAATCATTTTTCATATACAATTTTGAAAATACTGCTTTATTTTATGTGAACTAGACATTGATATTTTTATTGTTGATTGCAACCTAGGTGTTCATATCAAATACCTGATCTGAATTGAAAAGTTTTTAACTTTTAAAAATGTTACTTTTCTCCCTTTTTCTTTGTTAGATTACTGGGAAAAAGGCATATACTACAAGCCAGCAAATTTTTCAAGCCATTAAGTCATTGTGGACAAAAAGCAGCGAAAAAGAGTCACTCCCTGAACCAAAGGAAGAAACTAAGGTAGACTTTAAATAAACCAAAAATGTAGTCATTTAATTTTGGTTTGAGTAAGCATTGACTCGTATTGATAATACTACAGAGATGTCAAAGAGAAAATGGAAATAAATGAAAGGCCCAAAATAACTTGGTATAGTATAATTTTATATTCTTTTAGTAAAATCATTTGCTTCTGAAGAAAATGTCTGTTTTTGCTAAACAGGTAGGAAAGTCTGATGAAGTACATGCTAAAACGCCTAACCTAAAACATTCAGTGACTTTTCCAAAAGATCTTGCCTCTGAAACGACGATGAAATCGGAATCAACTGCAGGTTTGTTTGGAATTTTTAATTTTGTTTTCATTTTTATTAAATAATTTTAGAACATTATAGTTGATACTTTGAACTTACATGTTTTCCTGAATGTTTTCTCCCTCTTATGTGTGCTTTGAATTTCGTTTTTGGTTATGAGGGACCTAGATGCCTGAGATTTTTCTTTTTAAATCACCATGTAGCTATAATACAAGTCTCCACATGTGTGGGTCTAGAGTAGTACTGTCAGTGTGATTGAGTGAAACATTTAATATCACTTTATAAATGTGAGCTATTTTATCAGGAGGAGGAAAGTGTACCTTTCAGGATTTTATCAACTGACAGGTATGAGTCACACCTACATAAAGCGGATCAGCTCCTATTTCTCATGCTATTTACCTGCCAGTCTCCTGTCAGTCTTGGTTTCCACTGTCTGTGGTTTTATTAAATTCAGGTACCAGGAGAAAGTGAAGCATGAAGTAGTACTTGTAGCACTGTTACAACTTTGCTAGTATTCATTATTGACAATTAATATTTTGTGGGACCAAAGAGTGATAGTTATACTTTCTAAAGAAATCCTACCAATGATCAAAAAGAATGTAGCCAAATGTTTACAACCACTTTGACAGTCTATTCACATAATCATGTCTGTCACAGATTTGCAGAGATTGCCTTTCTATACAATGTGAATGATTCAACCCATAAGCTGCCTCATTGCAAAGGAAAGATACCAGGTTCAGAGGTAGAAAAGTAAAAATAGTAGTTATATACCCTTCATAAAGCATGTACTATGATATAGAGTCCTTTAAATATTGTATTCAACCAGCAATACAAAGCAAAACAAAACCCCATCTCTGATGTATTGATAATTTTTCCCATTTCATGATGGAAACAGTTTTTTTTTTCAAATTATATAACTTGTCAGTAGCAGAGCCATATTTCTAGCTCATTTTCCTGATGCTACAGTCCAACCTCTTCCCATTGTATCTAGTCCTTCTAATTTAAAACCAGAATTTAGTGTCTAATTTCCTCTTCCTCTTGCTCCTCTCTCAATCTCCATCTGGTGAAAGGTCATGGGTCATGCCTATAATTTAAGCAGTTGGGAAAATGAAACAGAAGACCTGGGAATTAGAAGCCAGTGTGGGCGCTTGCTTATCTAATGAGTTCCTACACTAGTCTGGGCTACATTCTAAGACCCTGTTCAAAATTGCAAGATGCTGATAACAATAGTATGTGACCAAGAAGAGTTGTCACCAAATAGCAAAACCTGATTTGAATGTTTTTCTGTCTTTCCATTCTAATAAAGACAAGTTATACAATTTTTAGACTTTCTCTGAGTAACCTACAGTTGAACATATTTACAAAGGATATAATATATGCAGTCATTTTTCTATTCCCAACTATCTTGGTTGCAGGGCGTTTACCCACCAACCCCACAGTTCCATAGAGTTTTCTTGAGTGCGAGCAGCAGGAAATAGTAGATAGAAGGATTTAGATTGTGGAGATAAACAGATAGAAAATAAAGAATAGCCTCAGAGGGCCTAGAACTTATTCCAAGGAGCCCTGTCTCTGCCCCAAGGTATTTAAAGAGATGCCAAGGGGTGGAGCAAAAGACCTCCCCCCAGCATAGCCATATGCAGACCATCTCAGACACCTGCACTCAGGCCTGTGGTCCTAATCATCCTCTATGTGGACCTGCTGAGTAAAGCCACGAGGAACCTGAAAACAGGCTCCCACAGGTTCCCCTTTCTTAATATATAAAAAATAACTCATTATTAATGGCTTATAGCAATCTCTGTAGCTGTTACACCTCCCAGTATGGGAGTAGAGGATGATAAAGATGGCATTTCTCTTTTGGATTAGGTCCAAGGTGACTATAGCAGTCTTTTTTTTCTAAACCAAAAACTCTTAATGCAATTGCAAACTTAAAGAATCCTGCATTTCATAATTACCAGTAACAGGTTATCATAAATATTGCTATATATAGTCACAATTCTCCCAATCTTACAACTCAAAGCAAACTCTTAACCATTTGAATTAACATATATGGTACTATATATAGTTACAATTTTCTCAGTCTTAAAACTTTAAGTCTTAATAGAACCATTTGAAATTTCTTGCTAACAAAACAGGAAAAACTTCTGATGTATTCATATCAAACTTAAATATTTCCTTAACTCCATGAAACCAGGGTGCATTAATATCAACAGGTTAAACATAATTTCTACAAACATACTTGAAATCTTAATTCACTCATAACTCCTCCTTTTCTCTATAATTTTTTAAACAATCTCAAATCTAGTTAGAAAAACCCAAACTTACACAATTCCTACAAACCCATACTAAAATGCAATATTCTCAGTCTAACCATTAACACTTTGAAAACTTTTAACAAAACATCCAAAAGCAGTTTCTTAATAAAACTCTTTACACTTTAAAAGTAGTCTCTTAGTATACCCCATTTGCATTTCTTAATAAAAACATTAATCTACTCAAATAATTTAATTAAATTAAATAAATTAAATAGAGTAAGGAATATTAACTCTACTTTTTCTTTATAATTCTTTAAGCAAAATCTCAAGCCTAGTTAGAAAACCCAAACTTTTCCATTTAAACAGTTCCATTTGTAACACAAAACCAGTTCCATCAGTAATTCCACTTTTACATAAACATTTCCATAAAACAGTTCCATTTTTAACACAAAACAATTCATGAATCAGTTAATAAAGCATATATGCATGCACAAAACTGCATCTTGAGTCTGGGTAGAAACAACAAATTTCTTCATTTAAACAGTTCCATTTTTTTTTTTTGAGACAGGGTTTCTCTGTGTAGCTTTGTGCCTTTTCTGGGACTCACTTGGTAGTCCAGGCTGGCCTCGAACTCACAGAGATCCACCTGCCTCTGCCTCCCGAGTGCTGGGATTAAAGGCGTGCGCCACCACCGCCCGGCAAACAGTTCCATTTTTAACACAAATAATTCCAGAAAACAGTTCCCAGGTCATTACTATAAGTAAATTCAAAATTGTCCCATTGCAATGAAATCACTATTGTTCATTTCATTTCTTAAGTCCCAAAATTCAAATAATAGATTCTGGTATGAGTCTTCCAAATAGGAAGAAATCCATAACAAAAATCTTTGTAGTTTTATCTCATTTTTTTTAAGTTCAAAAAGTTCAAAAAAGTAAATTCTGGTATCAGACTTTCACTTCCAAATATGAAGAGACGTTTTACAACCAAAATTTTGCAGTTAACAATTTTAGTTCAAACAAGCATCTCTACAACTTTCATTCTCAAGCCAGAGACTTTTTTAGTTACAGTAATATTTTAAACTGCACCATTTTGGCTGTTAGCTCAGGTTTCTCTGTGTTGCGTTGATTTTCCATGGAACTCAGCTGCAGATGCCTTGTGCTTGTTCTGGCATCCACCATTTTAGCTTCTTAGTGGCTTCTGGAGCTTTGAAACCATTCAGACTGCCTGCTTTGCAGTCTACTAGGACACTAACTTCTGTATCTTAGGTTTTTTGTTTTTTTTTTTTACCATGTACATTAAGCATAGATTCACACTCAACATTTACACTTTTTTACAAATTCATATAACATACCTTGCAAAGCATTTAGACTCATATTCAACATTTACACGTTTTTACAAACTCATATACAACATATTAACATCTACTTATTTATACTCCTTAAGGAAACTATAGAACTACTTTAACGGATATATTTCTCATTTACCTCTTATATTCATCTTTTACAACTAGCATCTTCTTACAAGCTTGTTGCTACATGTCTTAAGACAACCTTAGATACTCCTTGCAAGCTTATATCCTTAAAGAAACTCTATAGATCTATTTTACAAACTTATATAGGGCTACTATTAGCATATATCTAACTTAGCAAACACCTAAAGATTTAATTTTTCTACTTCTTACTGCTGTGGATATCATTCTATATAAATAAAACACTGATGGCCAGTGACCAGGCAGGAAGTATAGGCGGGACAAGGAGAGAGGAGAATTGGGGAAACAGGAAGAAGGGGAGAGACACTGTAGCCACCGCCAGGACAAGCAGCATGTAAAGACGCCGGTAAGCCACCAGCCACGTGGCAAGGTATAGATTTATAAAAATGGGTTAAGATAAAAGAACAGTTAGCAAGAAGCCTGCCACGGCCATACAGTTTATAAGTATTATAAGCGTCAGAGTGATTACTTTATAAGTGGATTGTGGGACTGTGGGGCTTGGTGGAAGCTGGAGAGAAGCCCTCCAGCAACATCTTACTCTTAATTATTATCACTATCTCTATTAGAAAGATTCTTTTAACTAGACAGGAAGTACGCATATCATTTCTAAAGTTCAGAGCTTACAGACAGCTTTGATATTCCAAAAGTTCTTGATAGACTGAAACAAGAGTGTAATTTTTTAATGGCTCTCTTAACTCTGGGATTGAGTGACTTCTGTTGCTATGCATCTCAGATGTTTTATAACAACTTTATTAAGAGCTATGTCAGTTTACCGCAAACCCAAAAGAAAGAAAGAAAAACCTTGTAAGAAATATTCTGTTTCTGAAGTGCTTAACTGGCAACTCAATTTCCCAACAGGGGAAGATAGTTGTCTAAATTGGAATGGGGTTCTAGACCTGCATCTTTCAACAATTCTGAAAACATTGCTGAAACTTAGTTTCAATAGTCTCAAACTCTTCAGCAGTCTGGAAGCCTCTTTATTCTCCTACTATCCCCAGACTGCAAGATGGAACCTTGATATCAGGAAAATTGATTTAGCTGCTTTTTACACTCAGACTCTGATATAATTTTCTACCTTCTTAATTTTAAAGCTGTATTTTCCATGAGTTCTTTAACAATGCTGATGTTTTGATAGATTTTTATTAACCCAGTATTTTTACCAAAACTGCTACTTTTCAAAGGAGTCAAGAACATAGATGTTCTTTCAGGAAACATATCCTTCGTTAGTTTACTGAGAAAGCATTTTCATCATTTCTTTTCATTAGCTTTAACCCTTGTTA